AGCATATATTTGCATTAGTCTTCGTTCTCATTTGCATATTTAAAATAGATAAATAAAGAAAAGACTGTTATTAGGGAAGTGATGAATAAGTAGAGAATTTTTATTAATAAATTTAGTTCTTCACAAAAAAATAAAAATAAATAGTAACTAAATAAAATTACAAAATATATAAAAAATTTACATTTTTTCATAAAAATATAAAAGTTTCTAAATTTCTTCATGTTTCCGGTTAGCCGATTCCGAGTTTCCGATATTGTTCGTACCTGCAAAACAAGACAAAGGGACAAATTTTAATGGGTAGTTCGACACTCTCAGAACGGTGTCATCACCGAGTGCCCTTTCTCGGCCAATGGCCTATCCGACAACGGTCTGTTCTTACCGAAGTTACCGAAAGATGAAGAAGAAAATTATTGTGAAATAAGCTGTTTAGGCCAAGAGAACTTATTCGAAAAGCTGGTTTGGGAGTGATTTTCCTAGAAGACGGTTTGCCCACAAGATGGACCTTAACTCCAATCTTCCCGGAACAATCCATTCCAACCAAAACTAGTTCAATAACAAGTTCAAAGATCCATCCAAAACAAGTTCAGAAATTCAAAGCCAGTTCAGAAGAACTAGTTCAAAATCAGTCCCGCAAAGCAGTTCAGTAAAACCGAAATCCACACAAGTCCAAACCGGGTCTAAAAGAAAAAACAGTTCGGAAAAGAGTAAAGGCAAACCGAGATTCCCGCAACTCAACCATCAAAGCCTCCCAACATATCAGCCTAAAAAATTTCCAGAAGTTATAACGAATCCGAAAGCCTAATGAACATAAGCAATCAAAATGAATATCTTGAAGGAAAATCATGGCAAACACGGTCAAACGCAAATCCAACGCTCATAGTTCAGGAAAATAGGCAACATTTTCGTAACCTAAACAAAGAAAAATCTAGGCCCATGAACAAAGATCATGAACATATAAATATCATAATAAGGTTTCAAAAGAAAGAACGAAAAAAAAAACAAACAAAAAAGTTCAGCACTAACCGAGAAAGGGCGCCGCGACTCAGATTCGGAAGATCAAGGGGATCTTCGTCCATCATCATTGCCGGATTCAGAAAACCGTTACGGTTTTCATCATCATCCACAAAGAAAGAAGAGGAGGAAGTCGAACCGATATCCAACAACGATGAACGGCCGCGTTAAACCGCTACCGCCGCATCGCCATCGAAGCCGTGACCGCAAGCTCAAGTTTCTGCCAACACCTCCATTAAATTTCGTCACCGTCAATCGGCCGAGAGTTAGGGTGTTTATGAAATTTCTTGATTGTCGTTTGGTAGTTTATGTTTTAGGAAGAAGATTGGGGGGGGGGGGGGCATGCATCAGAAAATGAAGGAATCTGGAATCGTTTCCACGCCACCAGCGGCGGCTACATTATCCGAAGAAGAAGAAGGTCTCGTAAGGGGAAAGGAAACCTAGAGATAACGAATTGGGCCATGTGGGAATCCGCCCATTTTCTCTCCTATTTGTTTTATTCTTTTTCTGTATTTTACTTTCACTTATTTTTCTTTTATTTTATTTTATCTTCCTGATAATTTAATTTGACAATGCACATTTAACTTAGTTTAAGAACTACGTGATCAGTAGGTACCATTTTTAGCCAAAAAGACAATCAATAAAAGTCATTATGCGTTAAGAAAATTAAAATCCACCTTTCATTATTTACATTAAAAATCCACCTTTCATGATTTGCATTAAAAATCCATCTTTCATTATTTACATTAAAAATCCATCTTTCATTGTTTGCATTAAAAATAAAAAATTTTCATTATGTGCATTGAAAATGAAAGATCTCATTATTTGCATTAAAATAAAAGACTTCATTGTTTGCATTAAAATTAAAAAATTTCATTGTGTGCATTAAAAATAAAATAAAAAATTTCAGTATATGCGTTAAAAAATAAAAGTTCATTATTTGCATTAAAAAAATAAAAATTCATTATTTGCATTAAAAAAATAAAAGTTCATTATTTGCATTAAAACAATAAAAGTTTATTATTTGCATTAAAAAAATAAAAGTTCATTATTTTGCATTAAAAATTGAACTTCACTTTGCATTAAAACTAAAGTTCATAAAAAATATAAAGAGGAGAATTAAAGTTTTATAAACAGGAATTAGTTACTTTTAGTTATTAATTTTGTAAGGTAAGATTTTTTTAAAATTTTTGCATTAAAACATTTTTCAATAAAATTAAAATCAATTTCCTTAATAAAATTAACGTAGAATTTTTTCTTAAATAAAACCTCAAAATAAAAAACATTTTCTTTATTTAAATTAAAACGTTTTTTTTTTTTAAAAAAAAAACATCAAAGTGGCATAATTTCTCCTTCAATTAACCTTTCTTTTAAACAAAAAATGCAAAAATATGAGTTCTTGTTTTGGCCGTTTCACTTTCGTCTAACCCTCGCAAATCTGTTTGTTTCAGCTTATTATTATTTTATTGATTCGTTGTTATTCCATGGATGTAATTTACGCGAGGCCATGATCGCGATTATTTTTATTCTTTTGCATTTTTTTAGACTTGTAATTTACGCGGGTGTTCATCGCGTTGCTTTCTTTACCGCTTTCCTTATTTTTTTTGTACTTTATCTTTGTTGTATGATAGCCTGTCTGTTGCATGATTTACTGTTATTTCCCATCCGAAGGAATTAGGTTTAACAGTTTGACCGCCGAGTCAATAACCCTAGTTTCAACCATCTTAAAACCCTAATAGCCTAGGTGCCCCGCCGTGGACGAAAACGCCTTTTACCCTAGATTTTAGGTGAAAGAGTTGTCGTGCTCTGTTTAGGGTTTCCCGCCGTGGAATCCCTAATTTAACCTTAATTTAATTAACAAATTCAACGTAGAAATAGGAGTTTAAGACTCCACGTAAGCATGTCCTTAAGATATGTTTATTCCCCATTGAAACCTTGACCAGAGTCAAGAAGTTTCTAACCTCCCTTTCGAGGGGAACTACAATTACTCTGATTTCATTCCCATCAGGATATGTAGGCACAAGATGCGACGTCTTGCCGAGTAAACTTAGAACTAACCCTTAGGTCTCTTTAGGTCACTCTATCCCTTAGCTCAGTATATATTTCAAACAGATAATAAAAATAAAAAAGCATACAATAAACAAAACGTTCCTATAGAGTACTACAAAAGTTTAAGGTGCTAGTACCTTCCCTAAGCTTAACCAACCCCTTACCTAGGTCTCTCCCTTCATTGTGTTTACGATGCAAAAATAGGTTTTCCCTCTTTTGACTTTTTCCTTCGGATAAATCAAAGAGCGATTGTGAATTAAGAATTGTGATTCAAACTAATTAATAGTTTGGTATCCTATTTCCACCGCAACAATATACAATCATGTGTAACCGGTTAAGATATCTAGTAAACCAGTTAACACAACTTTAAAATTGCTTTTTTTTTAGAAGTGTTTTTCTTCCAACTGTAACCGATTACACTCTCGTGTTAACGGGTTACAACACTTAAATTACTTGGTTTTCACTCAACAATAATAAATATCATTTTGACTAGAATAAGTATCCGGAGGAGCCATTTGCTTACAGATCACATGAGTCTAGCACCAACGTAGAATCCAAATGAATTTACAACTAAAAATCAGATGAATTACAATAATATATTTAGTTTTATAGTTGGTTTGGTATAGTTCTCATTTTTTTAGCATTTGTTTTTATTTCCCTTGAATCCTCTAAAATTATTTAGTTGTAATATATTTCAATAGTAAATGGTGGCTAGTGAAGCTCAGTTAACCGTTTAAATGTCGGGCAAATTCTCGCTCTGATATGTATTTTGGTTGAAGTTAGAGTTTAAAATAAAATTTAATTTTTTCTCATACTTTTATTACAAAAAAATTTGGTTAGATGAAAGCTACCAAATTCATATTTTGCTAGAATTTTGAAACTAATTTCTTTACTTCAATTGAACAACTGTTGTTATGAGAAGTTTCATCCTTATTAACCTAAAATGTTATAAAATCCAAAACTAACTTATTGGTTAAAAAGCACTTTAATTACCGTTTGATTAAACATGTTTTTGTTTAGTCCCTTGACTAATTTTAAAACAGAAAAAATATACATAATAATTTAAATAGGAGACTAAGGCCATGATAGTTTTTGTAATATGTGAACTAAAGTTTCACATTAGATGGAATATCAGATTTGAACAACTCATTGATGCCTAAAAATAAAATCTAAGGTTTTTATTATTATTATGGAACTTAAGTCTTTTCCACTAGCTCTCAACACGTGTGATGGATGACCAATTACTTTACGCTTGACCTATATGTTGTGCATCTTATTCTATTCTAATTGAAAAGTTTATTACATAGATTATTCACGCATTAGTTAGTGGCTGCTAATAAACAATAGAATTAAGTGCTATAATGATAGGCATCCAAATCAGATTGAAACAAAATCTAACAAGTGCTTGATATTTTACATTCAAACAAAACATACCACTTTCACATTGGAACATTTCTTGAAAGTAAAACCACAAACATTGATATCTTCATCTTATATTGGTTACACCTCTGTCACATCATGCACAACCATGCTTGAGCCTTTGAAAGATATGGATCCGGTTTCCATGTTGCAATTTACAATCTCGACCGATAATTTCAGATCAAACGACCCAGGGTCCATAATGACAAAATCAGTTGATCTTTGTCGTTGATTTATATCACATGGTCAAATCCGTTTCCATAAGATATATTATATACAAGTTTTTATTTTTAAATTTCAACGAGACCATCGACAAAACTCAAACACATTACATAGTACGTGGAGAGAAGTAAAGAGTTACAAGATCGAACTCTCGCCCCAACATATCAATATGTTGCAATTTTTAGTATCAGAGTGGTACTTACGAAACATTATACTATACATGTTAATTAGACTATACCTTACGACATATGACACATATGAACACGTTCTCGAAAAAAAGAATAATCTTTCTTAACCGGCTAGAAAAGTGTTCCCTTGTTGATCATAAAAGGAGGGACCAACATCTTGCTTTCATCTTCATCCATAACCCACAAAGGATCTAAATTAGAAAAATTCCATGAAGATGATGATGCAGAAGGCATTATAGAGGAACAAAAGTTATTGTTGCAATTCTCTTCACTAGTTCCATCATAAACAGTTTGTTGAAGAATGTTTATGTCATCTTCTTCTGACATAGCAATATCTCTCCATATATCATCCATTGAGTAACTCTGCTCAATTTCTTGAACTTGGTAATTCTCTTCTTCTTCTTCGGTCTCTTTGTTTGAAGCGTGATTGTTGTTAGAAAACAGAGATGATTGACAACTAGAAGATTGATCAGGTGATGATGAAATTGAAGGTGCTGTTGTTGTTGCTGCGTGTTTTTTCTCTTGTGCTCTCTTTTTTCTCATGTGTGTCCTCCAATAATTCTTAATCTCATTATCCGTTCTTCCCGGTAGTTTTCTAGCAATTCTTGACCATCTGTAATTGATAATCAATTATACTTGAATAACCAAAGAAATTCATAAGAAACTACATATAAACTAGATATAAAAGCTACTTCTTAATCTACAGCCACCATAGAACCTGAGACATTGAGAAAAAGATACTCTTATTCTAAAATAAAACCGGTTCTAAAACTGCAGCAGCTTCAGAACCAGAGACTTTGAACCTGAGACTTTGAGAGTAACACAGAGACTCGAAAGAGTGAATATGGTGAAAGAAGAGGTGATTTGTCAAACCTATTTCCCCATTTAGAGTGAAGGTCCATAACAAGAGATTCTTCATGAGGAGTCATCTTGCCACGTTTGAGATCAGGGTGAAGGTAGTTAACCCAACGTAACCTGCAACTTTTACCTGATCTACTCAAACCTACAATAAAGTGTGAGAAACAAGAAAAACCTGGTTAAAGGAATTAATGTTTCTTTTATAATTTCAGCATGCCCTTTTAAGCATACCTATCTATTACTCTCTCCCGCCACCTTCCAAACCTGAAACCTTTGCTATAAAATCCCATCTACGATCACCAAATAACCCAACAAAATAGGCTAGTTTGTAATCCTCTTGTTCTGTCCATGGCCCTTTTCTGCTTATTTCTTGTTCAACCATCTTGTTTTTTTGCTTCAGGCTTGAGGAGACCTGTGCACACACTTCGACAGTATTTATATGTGTTCTCTTCTCTTACAAACTCACAATATCTATGCTTTATTTTTATTTTATTTATAAAAAGTTTTACAACTTGGGTTCAGAGACTCACTAGACATTGTGTTAACAAATAATATTAAGGAACTCTTTATACTTTAAATTCTAATAAAATGTTTTTAAAAGTCTAACCAAAAAACCTCAAATTAAACACACTTAATTATAGAGGAACTCTTTATACTTTAAATTCTAATAAAATGTTTTTAAAAGTCTAACCAAAAAACCTCAAATTAAACACACTTAATTATAGAGTTTTTATTTGTTAGTTATCGAAAATAAAATGCATCTTTTTTTTCCCAGTAATCTAATAAATAACAACTTAATAGTTATACATATTTGATTTTATAAAAAACTAGCGTCGGAGTGCCCGTTTGTCCGCTTTTTTTACTGCGTTAACGCGTGAAAATATTAACAACGCCTTTTTTATAAGTTTGATTTTAATATCAAATATTTATATGATGAAATATATTGTATTTATTTAGATGAATCGTAAGTTTTATTTGCAATATGTAATATTTGTGTGTTAAATTTTGTTTGAATTGAAAAAACCGCATTATGACATGATTATATTTAACCGATTTTTTTCAAGAAAATCAATAATGTGAAAGGAATAATTTGATGGTTATAAATACTGTATTAAAGAAAAAGAAAATAGATTACACCAAAATTAAGTTTTGTATTTATGTATTGTTATAGATTGTACAAAATCATACGAAGATTTAAATAAAATAAGAAAAAAAAAATGTTTTTCACATTTATTAAACTAATAACATAAACATTAACAGAGACATTAAGTGACATTGTTGCTTAATAGGAATATCAACCATGAAATCGAAATAAAAAATATATTTTGTTTTACTGCAAAATAAATGAAGTAAATTTTAGTAGTAAATAATATAATGTAATATAGTGAGTGCACGCCAAGTGTGACTTTGTAAAAGTATAGTTTATTTTAAAATAATATAGTGTAATATGTCATCCTCTTTATTATCCCTAAAAAAATCAATATGTGACACAACATGCATAATAGAGCGGTTTTTAAAGTTTGCATTGTTTAGTGCATATCAATTAAATTCTAATAATAATAATAATACCTCCTTCAATAAATTAATTCAAAAACAGTTGAATAACAATCTCTATGTCAATGGTGAAAAATCATCTTGAAAAGGAAAATAATTTGAAATCTAACAACAATATTTTTTATGCATAACTTCTAAATAAGACAAAACCTTATGGATAATACACCAAAATAATTATAAATGTAACTTAACAAAACCAGTCATCAATTAAAATACATACATATGTGTAAATTCATTTTTAACAAACTATACTGAAAAAAATTAATTAATCTATTTTCTATGTACAATCACCAGCAAACACTCTTCAAAATTTTTTAAAAATTGCAAGAAAAAATCACCATGCAAAGAAGAGTTATATGTGTTAAATTTTCCATAAGTTTTTTTTAATGGAAGTTAATGATGGTTAAAGAACAAAAATAACCAACGACTCATATTCAGGTTATTTATAATTATAAAAATTAGATTTAACTTAACTAAAATCATCATAAATTTAATATAATGCATATATAGTGTAATTTTGTCCATAAACCATAAAATAGAAAAAACCTATTGTAGTATTTAGTCATTATCATTGCATAATCACCAACTAATACTTGAAAATAAACATTTTTGAAAATACAAATACAAATTACATAGCTTAGACGGTGATCATTGTATAATCATCGACTATTATTTAGATATAAACTTTTTTTAAAATGCAGAAACATAAATACAAATTAAACAACTTAGACGATAAAAATATAACATAATAATAAATAAATAAAAGTATCTTCTTCAACCTCCGAAACCATATAAATTTCTTCTTTGTCTCTTAAGAGTATATACAACATCCATGGCAGTCACAACCTTTCTTCTTGCATGATTAGTATATGAAGCAGTATCATGAATAATTTTTGTCAAAAAAACCTTAAAAAATAACATAGTATCTTCATAGATCAAACCACTTATCCTCTTGACACCTCCTCTCCTCTAACCAATCTACGAATCGATGGCTTTGTAATTCCCCAAATATTGTCGCGCATAATTATCATGTGCCTCTTTGTTCTTCCCTTTCCGAGCCCCTTAATACCCTTTCCACAACTTGTCATTTTTGTAAGAAATTTTGAGAAACTTTTTATTCTTTTGCATTTTGAATGTGAAAAAGTAGAAGATGAAAGACATATTTATATATCATTCTGAGCGGGAAATGAGGAAACTGTTTATCCTCTATCGTTGGATTTAAAGTAATAGACGGTTTAGATTTGACTGAGATTTTTCAATATTTTAAAATTATTTTATAATTTATTTTTAAAAATTTTTTTTTAAATAAAATAAAATATTGGTTAATCATATTTTTAAAAAATGAGTTTTAAGAACTCCAATGAATTTTTTTAGGCAATTATAATTCACTTTTTTAAGTATATAATTTATCAAAACTTAGAGTATACAGACTTTATAAGCATTATCATTCAGTTTTATTAAGAAAATATTTTGGATAAATTTAGTCATAAATAAAATACATTATAAATCTTCAAAATTAAATCAATTAAATATATAATTAAATATAATAATATTAGTTGAATACGGAAGTTGTTATATGCTTCTATTTCATCATTCAATAATGGGATTAGTGGGTTATAAAGCAGTTAATCATTTTTAGAAGTTACTACTACTTTTTTATTATTATTTCTTATTTAATTAATTTAATTAAGTACGGAAGTTGTTATATGCTTCTATTTCATTCAGTAATGGGATTAATGAGTTATAAAACAGTTAATTATTTTTAGAAGTTACTACTACTTTTTTATTATCATTTCTTATTTAATTAATAAATTATTTATTACTAAAGATGAGGAATAATAACTTACTAATCTATCAGTAAAAAAATAGTGTAAAAGAATCAATTTATTAGAAATAAAATTGGAAGTAAAAAAACTACACCAAAATTATTTAACGTTAATAGGTCAGAACAGATCATCAAAATTATATAATAAATTTGAAACAATCACATTTACAAATAATTATAGAAGTTTAATCATATTAAAGATTATTATATTAAATACCTAATATACTTATATAAGATATAATACATCTAATAGAGTATCATATAAATTACTAATCTTCCTTAAAGTATATAATAATCTATTATGACATAGTTATGATATTGTACTTATATAACCTATCCGTGAATTACTATTTTAAAATTACTATTAATAAGTGAATTCTTATATGTCTTGCTACACAGATAATTTTGTGTCCAAAATTATTTTATATAAGTTGCTAATTAGGATTATAGGAACACAAATAATAATTATATGTGAGGGAACTTTAATTATATTTATTATCCAATCGGACTATTTTATTTCTATAATACTTGTATTTCAATATATGAACTAATTATAATAGGGATTCACCAGACAATAATTAAAATATAAAACAAAATAACTATATTCATGCCTGGATATCTAAATTGTACAAATATATTATAGAAGTTATAACAATAATAATAATTTGACATAAAAAATTGACACTTATAGTCATATTTTTAATACATCATGATAATTGTTCAACATTTTAAATCCACTTTTTACTTATAACTTATATTTTTAAAATTAAAACAAATATAAAATATTAGAGGATAAATAATAATTTTAAAAATTTTGCAGTTAACAAAAGAGTTAAAAAAAAACCAACACTCATAGTTATATACTTTAGACGGTTTCCTTTTTGAAAAAGTTGCATATATTTATTTTTATTTTATTTTTAAAATTATATAAACTATATTTATTTTAAAGGTTAAAATGGGAATAAAAAAATATAAGAGCAAAATTTCCTATTTCTTTTGTAGATAGTTATAGATTATGATTATTTTAATTAAAATTATGGATATTTGAATGTGTGGTATGTGTATTTAAATATAGTTTTTAATGAGAAATTAAAAAAAATTCTTCAAATAACTAATTAATTTCACTTGTGTACAATATTCAAATATAAAATGGGGGAAGTAGTTAATTTTTATTTGTATAACTTCTACAACTTTTAAATAATTTTAAAGGATAAAACAGGAAAGAAAATAGGCTACACCAAAAAGATGTTTTGTTTTTATATATTGTTATAGATAAATAATTTTAAAATGCAAAATAGGAAAGAAAATAGGCTACACCAAAAAGATGTTTTGTCTTTATATATTGTTATAGATTATAGATAGATGACATAGAAGTTGATATATTTTTATTTAATATTAATTTTACATGAAAGTTATGTGAGAAGTTATTAGTAGGGAGTTATATGAAAGATGATAGTAGTAATTCAATGGAAGTTATTGTATAAGTTATATATTTTAAAATAAGAGTAGATTTGGTATAAAAAAAGCTACACCAAAAACCAAGTATTGCCTTTATATATGTTATAGATTTCTTAAAAAATAGATGAATAAGAATAAAACATGCTAAAAAATTCATATCTTGAACGCATTAAAAAACCATCTCAAACTTCACATTAGTTGAATATAAAATACACTCTATATTACAAGTTTTATAAGATTGATAAGATTGAGATAGTCAAACTTTAATTTTAATATTTAACTCTAATCCTAATCCATTTATTATGGATAACACAAAATTATAGTTACTTGGTAATCGAATACGTAGACTTGTTGTTCTAATGGTATAAAATAATATAAACAATTTTGTCTAACTTAAGTAACAATACCAAAAGTTGTTAAGTGGAATATTTTCTATGATTACCTAAATTCGAATCCCATTTATGTGAGTTTTCATGTGGTGTTTTGTTACTCCGTTTAGAGATCAATAAAAGAAAGAATTTAATTAATTATTTTTAATTAATTAT